ACTTCACGGTTCACTGTTTAACGTAGATGTCGTCAAATGATGAAGTAAAAGAAAAGAAAAAAGTACTTGGTAAGGCTAAAGTCGAGATAGTTTAGAGTTTGACGTCTATGCATATAATAAATCTGTAGAAAAGTCGTGTCTGTAATCTGTAAATCTTATATTTTCTGGAATAAACATTTCCAGGGACTACATAAAGGGCACTGAACCCAAATTAGTAGTTATTAGAATTTTTGTCTGTCTGTCTATATATTCACGATTCACGCAAAAACTTAAGTTAACTCGGGGCAACGTATAGCTTACTTTTTATCTGATTACGGATCTTTTAAAAAGGAATATTAAGTATTTTCCTTCTTTACATGCTAATTTCTATTATAAATCATCAATCATATAAAATAGAATTAAACATTTATTAAAATAAATAAAATATGAATAAAGCCTTAAATTAGTTTTAACCGTTGCGTAATAAATTGAATTACACCGACAAACTACGTTTCACTTTTTCAAAACACTACCATCTAACGTTTAATAAAAAAGTAGTGACATTATGCGTCCGGTTACTAATAATAATTATAATAATTAAAATCCTAACATTCAAATTTCAGTTTTTTTATTTCATTTTAGTAGGAATTGTATAGTACCTAACTAATTACTACTTCAATAGATAAAAGTTTCATCTATCGAAAGTCATAAACAAAGCTAAGGTTGTTTCTAAGTTTAATTTATAATATACTAGCTTGCCAGGCAGATGTTGTTCTGCCCTTTTCGACAACCCTGTCATGTCCCATTCAAAATCCTTAAATTCGCAAAAAAAATTGTGGGTCACTCATGGGCAAAAAAACTATCCTATCTCTCAAGTTGGACCAAACTGCACACGGTGTGTAAATTTGATTAAAATCGGTTAAGTAGTTTAGGAGTCCATCGCGGACAAACAACGTGACATGTAATTTATATATATTAAGATAAAAAGTTTTAGTAGGTATTAATTTTTTTATCTGTAAATAAACTGATAAAAATGCAATTAAAGTATAAAGAAATTAAAAATATGTATTGGTCAGATCTTAGAATTTATAATATCATAAATTAGTCAATTATTGCGTGAAATGGCGGTATTTCATAAAATTTAAGTGTTTGTTGACTATATCATGATATCATAATATATATTCTTTGGCGATATTAACAACACGACATTGCTATTTCTAGATATTTTTGACAGAAGATATTTAATAGATTCCTCATCACTTTATACCATATTTATCGTGTGTCGTGCACACAGCATGTACATATATAATACATATTAGGTATTTATTGATTTCTTAGTTTTTTTAAAGCTTCAATCAAAATTATTATTGCAAATTAACAAGTTGAGTTTTTGTTAACGTCGTTGAAATTCAAACAAATTAACGAAGTTGATATAAGATGAATAAATGAGGAAGTCGACGTGCCATGAAATATGATTTTTTTATCATTTATTGTTTTTTTGCTCAAAGTTTAGTTTCCTCAAAAATTTCCCACATTACCGCCAAGATATATACTAAGTAAAAAATAGAACATGTTCTTTAAAAAGACGTATCATTTATTTCTAAACTCTTTAATTTCACGTTGCTATGCTATTTTCATTATTTATGATTATTATGCTATTATTAATTCAGCGAAATATTGATTACCTATTTTCCTCCTAATTTGAAAAACTTTATAGTGATAAAATTTGTACTCTTATGAGTTGTTGAAAACTACTTTTAAAGTATTCAAAATCAGATGAGTAGCATCTTCTTGATTACAGCTTCATTCTATTACAGCCTTTAAAGTTCGCTTTGAACGTAGGCCTTTCCCACAGAATACCACATGAGGGGATTTTGTCACAGTTGCCACGCTTGGGTTGACAACCGAAGTTTTTAATAATTTTGGGTTGTTATCGGGAAAACAGTAGGTGCGCACCTGCTGTTGATCAGCCGATTAAAAAAACTGCTCTTGCCAATCCGCTTGTCAAGCGTGACAATAATAGAAAATGGGAGGGGGGGGGGGTGATTAGCGGTATAGGAATAAATAAAAAGGAAATGGAAAATAGTAATTTCAATAAATAACCAAGTTTTTGTAGGAGACGATATTGTAGAAGAGATAAGAATTATTTGCATAACAAATAGAAATTCCAAGTTTAATAGAAGCGAGATACATCTACAGTTATTTAAATAAACCTAGTATTTAGTTTTTACAGATTTTATCGCATATATTTACTTATTTTATACTCTCGATATTTTGAGAACTTTACATATATATATTTGGACGTGTGAGACGTCCAAATGTCATGTTATACTATCAGTTTTAAATTATTAATTTTTGATCCGACCTACGCAGAATGAACTTATCTGGATGATTCTTTGAAACGCAGTTTTGACATAATTTTTACTGAAGAACGCATCAAAATAATATTCAATTTAAACATCCATTTCAAATATAATTTTATAGTAAAATGTCTATCGAGGCCTTATGTAGTTAAATGCAATTAATTAAAATAAACTTAATTTAAGTCAACAGAAAACATTAAAAACTAATTCATCTGGCGCGTCCAAATGACGATTTTTGTTGCACTAAACTTTATAACTACTTTATAACTATTAACTAATTTTTTGAAATTACCTTTTGCAATAGACTAGAATTAGTAAGTTGTATCGATATTTGAATATCTGTTTTTTGATGGTTTCATATTTCAATCAAAAACAATTAAATGTTCTTGGAATAACGTAACGTTAAAAATTGTCCGCGACTAAAGTAATCATTAATCTGGCTCAATACGTCGAAGCATAAATTTAACGTATGTCTCAAAATATTCTATTAAATTATACCGACTCGTGATTTTTCGCACCATCCAGTCCCGACCCATCATACGCTGCTCTCGTGCAGGACTGTATTTTACCAAAAAACTGCGATACAATATCGTGATCTGGCATTTGTCAGGTAAGTAGCATAATTAATTAGTCTTTCTTTATAGAAGTTGTGCACATGCTGACGTTTTGTAACGAGAACATAACCTCTAATCAGATTATTCATCACTATTAATTACCTCCTTGATTTTCTACGATTATAAATAGAGGAACAGGATTTGAATTTCTTCAAATTCCTCATTTGTCTGGCCCTCATTAGTTTGGTTTCATCTGGCTCTTAAGACCGGATGAATTTGAACGGGTCAGACGAATTAGATTCAATTCAAATATCATATGAATCGGTACAGAATTGAGATTTTGTGTTCCCGTTTTTTTGAATATCTTTAAGCTGTACATTGCTAAAACTTATACGGCCCTATTAATAAACACAGACTTGAGCAAGATTAACTTTACTCCTAGTTTAAAGCTTAAAATATCAAATTTCAGTATTAATAAACATAGAGTAAGGAGGGAGTAAACTAATCCGAATCTACTCTCGGAATAAAAGTTAATCCTTGGCGGTACCTAGTTTAACGACTGAGTAAGCATAGACTAGTTGCGTATTTTGACATTTTGTAAAATAAAACTATACGGTTACGCGCGTTGTGTTGTTAGTTGTTACACGTGTTTAATTCATAAGTTGTAAGTTCGGATATTGTTTGTTAATTTAGTTCATTCTTAACAACATCAAGATGAATAGAGATTATTTGATTGATGATATGAGAGTCATAGATGAAATTAATGAAGTTGTTAATCAGATTCCATTGATGAGACGTGTAAAATTTTATAAAATTCGTAAGAATCCATTGGAAGAACTTCAAGAAGCCGAATTTAAAATTAAATACAGATTTTCCCGAAGTACTGCCGTTTTCCTTATTCATATGGTAAAAAATGATTTAGCTGGTGATTCAAGAGCTGGATTTATTCCACCCTATCTGAAAGTTTTGACTGCAATAAGAACATGGGCCCGTGGAGAGGTAATTATAACTATGCAACTACTTACTATCGATTTCATTTACATTAACATCTTTTTTTATCAATAGTTTTAGGAATTAAGTACATAGTTATTAGTTGTTATGATTTCTAATTCAATTATTTTTGTTTTCAACAGATTCAAGATGATGCAGGGGATCTAAGTGGAATGAGTCAGCCAACAATATCACTTGTATGCAAACAAGTTGCTTTAGCACTAGTAACAAAGAGAACCCAATGGATTAAAATGCCAAGAAGTGATGTGGAGCAGAACAATGTGATTGCAGGCTTTTATTCAATATGTGGATTTAGACAAGTGATAGGCGCTATTGATTGCACACATATTCGAATCCCGAAAGTCGGTGGAAATATCGGACAGTACTATATTAACAGGAAAGGATACAGCTCAATAAATGTACAAGTAAGTTTTATAGCGCCTAACTAACCCATCTTTGCCATATATGTACTTAAAGTTATTTTTCTTAGATTCAGTACAATCATCACCTCAATCTATTATTTCATATTAAAGAAGTTATGAGTGCTTTGTTCCAGGTTGTGTCAAATTCTAATTTGGAAATCATGGATACATTGGCGAGGCAGCACACATGACTCAAGAATTTTTAGCGAAAGTCGCATAAAACAAAGGTTTGAGCAGGCAGAATTTAAAGGCAGACTTCTAGGAGATTCTGGTTATGCTTGTACTCCTTATTTGTTTACACCTATCCTGCGTCGTAATACACAGAAGGAAGAAATGTATAACCGGTCACATATCAGGACCCGAAACACTGTGGAACGATGCTTCGGAGTGTGGAAGCAAAGGTTTCGGTGTTTACTGCGAGGACTAAACACCAAATTAAAGCATACGAAACTATATATTGTTGCATTGGCAATACTGCACAACATTGCAATGCAAAAGCAAGATCTGCTTGAGGATATAGTAGAAGGAGATGATGGAAATATACCAGTCACACAATCAATAAATAACTCCCTAAGAGGAAATTCTGTACGGGCAGCATTTATTAATGAAAACTTTTAAAATAAATATACAATATTTACATGTACAAAAGATTTTATTTATGCCCAAAAAACAAAACAAAAATGGTTATTCAATTAATTTTGCTCTTCACGCACTTTTCTTAACTCTAAAATTTCTCTTTCGAGTATGGCACATTTTAGTTTTTCTTTGTGTATTTCAATTTTTATTGCATGTTCCTCTTCAGCCATTTCTAGACGTCTCCTGTGCTCTTCTTCTTTTAGCTTTTTGCTATGGCTTAGCATGTTATTAACATAATCATCATGGTTCTGTAAAAGACAACCAGTGTAATAAATAAGATTATATGTTGATAGATAAACAGAGCAAGTTAAACAAAACTAGCAGCATAAATATTACCTTTTTATTATTTGATATGAGTTTTCGTTTGGGCACCTGCAAAAATAATAAGAATTAGGTTTGTAAAAAAAGTTTTCAAGGATTTTTCACTGGTAAATAAATAATCATTCATCATAAAACTCAAAATTGAAAAGTGCCTCTCAATAAATTACACACCTTCTTTGCTGAAGTCATGCCCATATTTTTGTTCATTGGAGTGGCCCCAATCGCATCTTGAGATACCTGTAAGATATTGTAAAAATTTAAAGTACACCATAGATTTCACACACATCTATGTACCTATCACCTATATCATTGTTGTAAGCTCACCACTGATGAAGTAAATTCCTGATCATTCTCTTGTGCATCAGTATTTTCTATAATGTAGTCCTAAAAAATGTAAAAATTGTGTTTAATATTTTAGTATTCAGAATGCAATACTTTCTGCTATATAATATCATAGATCAATATATATTGTGACTTACAGCTATCTGCTGATTTTCTGGGTTAATATTCTCATCCACATTTTGTGTATCCAAATATATGACCACATATGTCATTGGTTTTACATCCTGAAATAAATAATAAAGGTAATAACATGTAAGGCACACACACTAAAGGCAATTTTGTAAGTCATAAATGTTATTCATTAATACTGTCCGACATTTTTGACCAACTGACCTGTAATGTGTTGTCACATGTCTCGCTGGTAGTTGCCAATATAACTTTATTTGATGAGGAACTTTCGATCTATTGAAAACAGAATAACAATTATGCTAAATATAAATAAATATTAATGATTAATAAATGAATGAATTGAGGACTTTGTCTTCTAAAATGTTATAAGGAGTAATAAAGAATAAAAAAATGTACTCACAATCCCATCCGAATCATATATATTATGATCCCTCAACAGCTCTGCAGGATTCAGCAAATCTTTAATGTCTATTATTCCATCATTAGGAGTTGCTGGTCTTGCCCCACCACCTGTTTTGGATAATTCTTTTTTGAAGGTGCTGTATTTCTTCCGAGCATTTAACTTCATTGTTTTCCATTGTATTTTCAGCTGACTTAATTGACGATGTCGGCTATTTAACTCATTAAACCTATAAGAATAGAAGATAAAATTAGTAGTGTGAATCTTTTATTGGTTATTGTAATTTTAGTTATTGGGTTACATTTAATATGACTGTTCTGTATTTGAACCTACTTTTCAAACATTTGTCAACGTTACGATTATATTGCATAACAGATTTGGAACAAATTAAGCAGATTTATAGATCATGCTCTGAAAAAAGAAAACAGGGCACCTGAAAAGTCTTGTTTTATAGGATAAAAAACCTAATTAGGTCATAAATACAGAAAACCATAATGATTTCTTAAACTTACACGAACACTACACATTGAATAAAACCATATTTACAGATTTTATCATGTTAATAACTTATTTTTAATTCTAGACGTTTTGGGTGCTTTACAGCACCCATGGTCACGGGGGACTGAAATGTTTGATGTTCCAATGTCATAGTTAGCCCAGCTACCTTCAGTTTTTGAATATTAATTTTTTTGTCCGATCTATGCAAAACGAACTTACTGTATCTTGAAGTCTTGCAGTGGTATGCTTGGGTTTGGGTTTAATTTTGTTAGTTATAGGATCCCAAGCAGATAGCAACAGCCATCCATCTTCTCTATTGAAATTAGGATGTTTACTAATTTCAATAGCCTCGCTTATCATCCTTGGTAGGAACCCATATTTTTGCGAGGATTTGTAGTTTATGAAATCATGGTGGGGATAATCTTAAACATGTTCACTAAAATCCGTAAATATAATTTTATTCAATTCAGAAAACTAATTATCTTACTTTTTGTGAACCTCTTCCCACGCTTTTGTTTTTATTTTAATTGTATTCGTATCTAGACATTTATTTTCAATAACGTTCGCATATTCTCTAAGCACAGAACGTAATAAAAGCTGAAACAGTAAAAGAATATTAATAAAGACTACGGTACAACGATAAATAGTACATTAAAGAAAACTATTGACTGAAATTACCTTTTCTTCTTCATCCCAATTTTGAGAGCGAATGCGTTTTTGATCCATTTTGAGTCGAAAATAATATTAAAAGTGATTATATTTAGGAACCAACTTAGTTTTTTCGCCGAGTCCGAAAACAACACGAGGAACAACAAACTCAAAATATTGCCTGTCACTGTCATTAATGTCATCATCAAACGTTGAGTTCATTCACCAATCATTCACTGACTCACTCTTTTTTACTTTTAAAATAAGTGGGTTGCCATATCGCACGCGTTAATCCCGGCGTAAGAAATGTATAGTTAGTCCGAGGTTACTCCATGTTTATTAATAACATTGTAATAACGGAGTTAATACTCAGTTACTCTGAGATTAACTAGTCCAAGTGTAACTTCGAATTAAGGTTGGAATAAGCAATTTTTATTAATAAGACAGATAAAGTCTGTTGTCTTAAAAAGGTACAAATTGGGCTAAGCATTTTGATCCCATTTTCTTATCTTCAGATCTGTATTTTGAAAATGGCAAAATCAAAGAAACAGACAAGAGAAGAAAGGCTTAGAAAAAAGGGGCTAACAGAGAAAAAGAGATATGAAAGAATAAAAAATAATGATGCCTTGTAGAACGAAAAACAAGAGAAGAATAAGCAAAACTACACACGTAGAAAGGAGAAAAAGAAACAACTACCTATAAGTGAAGTGAATCCTGGACAACAAAGGTTACAAAGAAAGAGGTGGAGAAAGAACTACAAGTCATATTACCTAAGAAAAAAGAACAACGGCCCACTAGTACAATATACCCCACCACAAAGTCCCACAGTTACGTCGGATACTGAACTGATAGTTTTACAAGACAACATTCGAGATCCGTCACCTTTAGAAAACCTATTTTTATGCAGAGAACCTGAGTCGCCTATACCAGGACCATCTAGGATATTGCGCAGTATATCTCAACAGAAGATATTATCAGCTAAGACCTCCCAAGATCTTCTCGATTTAATATGTTGAGACGTGTACAATGTGGATTGTTTGCATCGAACGTGTTTAGCGTGCAAGAAAAGAAAGTCTGTTATCAGGAATTTAATAATTCTATTGAAATAACGTACTGGCACTAGGAGACGAAATAAGACATGATTCTGGGTACGGAAAGAAAAATGAGAACACTGAAAAATAAAAAAAAACGCTAAGCTTTCAATATATAGGTTTTTTGAATATATTGAAGCGACACTGAATGCAATGCAATTCAGTGTTCGTGCAGTGGTAATATAGCTGCTCAACGAAAAGCTTTCAGAAACTTAAAATAACGTTTTCAACAACACACAAAATAACACAACACAATAAATAACACACTCACAAGAGGGTGAGTGTACTATTCACATTGATTATAGGGAAAATTATGCACTTAACTACCATTTCGGTGGTAGTTGTAAACAATTAACTTTACATACTTCGGTAATATATTTTCTGAATAATGAGAAGACACAGCAAATATATATCCTTTTGTACGGTAAGTGAATACCTGCGCCGTGACATTTCAGTCGTATGGGCTCACATCGTATCAATCCCCGTACACAGGTGGAACAAAGACATAGATTCACATTGTACATTCAGTCAGTATCGTAACAAAAAGATATGCTTGAGCTCTATCATTCCATATCATAGATTCCCCATCCAGTCAGTATCGTAACAAAAAGATATGCTTGAGCTCTATCATTCCATATCATAGATTCCCCATCCAGTCAGCATCGTAACAAAAAGATATGCTTGAGCTCTATCATTCCATATCATAGATTCCCCATCCAGTCAGTATCGTAACAAAAAGACATGCTTGAGCTTTATCATAACCATTACGTATATACGTATCATACGTACGTAACTATACTGAACCTGGTCATGTAAAGGGAGCCCCAGACGGAGTAGGTACTGTTATGAAGAAAACTGCGTATTGAGCGGTCTCCCAAATGCAAGACATTAAGGGTCTAGATGATTTTTTGATATTATGGATCAAATTTAGAGAAAATGAAAGTGAGAACTACTTCTGAATATGACATAAGTAAAAAGGGCTTGCTTTTCCCACAGATGCATCTTTTGCTGAACTTGGACTATGTAACCGTTGAAAAAATAGAAACAAACTGAGTTGTACTGATAAAAACTGTATGTATCATATTGTTAATTGCAACCACATGAAGCAACTTGGTTTTTATCTCTTGGAAAACGGATGTCAGAAATCTTTAATGGTCACCCCCCTAGCTAATTCAAATAACAATGCAGGGATATCGGTGAACCCTTTTGGACAGTAAATAATGAAAAAGACCTAAACAAAGAAATAATTCGAGAGTCTATTAGAACCAAAGGTATACATAAAGAAAAGGGCACAAGTTTGTCACCAAAGAAAGATAGAAGCAAATATTTAACACCAAATATTTACCAAAAATATACTTTTACAGAAGAAAAAGGAAGAAGGAAGGATAAAAACGAACAATGTTAGCAAAAGCTCATTCTTCTGTCTTACTCATCATTCATCTGGCTGGTTCATTCATCAGAATAACCTAATTCATTAACTACTGGAATCAAATCAGTACCTTCTATATAAAATTATTACATTTTACGACCAGGATAAACAAATATTATAATTTATACCAAATAACAAAAAAAATTTGAAGCCAGACGAATTAGTCGAAAACCCTCGTTTTCAAAGAATCACCCATCTGGAAGTCTTGCAGTTGTATGCATGGGTTGGGATTCAATTATAGGATCCCAAGCAGATGGTACCACCCAGCCATCTTCTCTATGGATTTTTTATTGTAAAAGTTGTGCTTCTCCGCTCGATTAGATTCGAGTTTCTCAACGTCGCGTGTGTCGCGTATTACGGTAGAACAAAAGCAGCAATGGTAATTGTACAATACGAAAAGTAATAAATGAGTTAGTTTAGTTTAGGTTAAGGTAAATATCATAGTAAAGTATTCATCTGGATGTAAATTAGTTAAAACAATGATAATTAGTAAATAATCAACTTACTGCTGAAATGTTATGCCTTTATTAGTTGAATTACACGTCTTTAATGCGTTTTTACAATTGATTATGCTGCAGTTCACTATTATAAATTTATAATACATAAAATTTATAGTCATAAATTCACGTACGACGTTCCCCACGCAACTAAATCACAAAATGGTGAATGATGTGCGTCAACACATCATAGCGGCGACAAGGGCACGCGTCTATGCGACTTATGTGTCTACAACTCACAAATAATACATATAATAAGCAAAGATTTAAACGTCACCCATCTGAAAATAACTTCAATCGTTTTAAAATTTTACGCAATCGCTGCAGTCGTTTATGTCGGTATGCTAAAAGACGCTACTTTTACTAACTCTCTCCATAATAAAAATTCTACTGAGATGTGGAAGTTCCTTCGTTCTGTTGGTGTGGGCAGGTCCCCGATCCTAGAATACAATGACGTTAAAGTAAAGGATTACCCGACTATGCGAGGACACTACTCGCATTGGCGGGTATACCGAAACCGCACGTTTGCCCTTTTCATCTTTCCCTTGTGACGGAAGAAGATGTCAAAAAATCCATCCTAGCCATCTTTTCAAATGCTGTTGGTATTGATGGTCTATGCGCGAAGATGATTTTGCCAGTTCTACCTTTACTTCTACCAATTATCACTCACATATTTAATTTTTCTATATCGTCATCATCTTTTCCTTCAGTTTGGAAACAAGCATATATAATTCCTCTGCCCAAGGTTTCTAATCCTTCTTTGTCCCACTTTCGTCCCATATCTATTTTACCCTTTCTTTCTAAAGTTTTGGAACACATCATCCATAGCCAACTCTCTCTCTTATCGTCTAACTCCTTGCTCTCCACTTATCAGTCGGGCTTTCGTCGTGGACACAGCACTGTCACTACTTTACTTAAAGTAACCGATGATATCCGTTGGGCCATGGACAATAAATCTCACACACTTTTAGTTTTGCTTGACTTTAGTAGTGCTTTTACCTCAGT